GTGCGGCCGGCGGGGGTAAAACCTTGGGGGGGGTCCGGGCCGCCCACCACCCCGGCACCCCTCCGGGCTTCGGCTCGCTCCCCGGCTTCTCCGAGACGTCTCGTCTTTGCGCAGGCAAGACCCCCCTCCCCCGCTCCGCCTCGGCTCCGCTCGCCCCGAGGCCGCCGGCACTCGCCTCCCCCGGGTCCCTTGCCTGCTTCTGGGCTCGCAAGACACCGGCGCAGCGCAGGTTTTTAACGCCCTCAGGGCCCCCCTGAGAACCTCCCGGCCGTCCCCGTCCCTGCGGGGAGACCCGGCGGCAGCCGCAGCGCGCCCCGTCGGGCGGGACGGAGAGCGCCGCGCTGGGGGTGCCCCGCCGTGGGGCTCGGCTCCCGCGGGCCGGGGGAAGGCGCTGGCGGCGAGGGGGACCCCCGCGCGGGTGGGGTCCCCTCCAGCTGCCTGCCAAGCGGCACTTTACCGGGCGAGCCTGGCTCCTCGTGTCTGCGTGGATATGCGTGTAACTGGGTGCCCTTACAGCTCGGATTTAATTTGGATTAATGAGGTACATCGGGATCTGCGTGAAACATAAGCCCCTGTTTAACATGCGTTGGCAGAGAGCATTTCAATTATGTTTCGGGCTTTTGCTTGAATTTCATCTACCTTTCCGTGTCTCTTTGCAAGCAGCGGTGAAGAGCTGCTGCCTCCGTGTACTCAGCTGCTGTCCTCTGGGAGTTCGAGCGGGCTTTCCTCCCCGAGAGAGCAGCTGAAAGGAGGAGGAGTGCGAAGGCAACGGTCAGTGCCTTCCTTTCACAGGGGCGAAAGAAGCCCTCTCTAGGCTACCCTGCTGCAAATGCCCTAATGCATTGGTCCATGAAGTAGGAATGGAAAGATGCAGAGGCACGGGGTAAGAAGGCCTTCAAAAATTGAGAAATGGGAGGGGAAGGACAGGCAAGTTAGCTCGCAAGAAGTAAGCTAAGTTTGCCCAAGAGAAGAAGAGGAAGAAGAGGAAGACAAGGAGGAAGAGGAGGAAGAGGGGGAGTTGAGAAACAGAAGTTTTGAAAAGAGAATAGATGACAAAGAAGCACGATGTGTCGAGGGAGAGCTGACAGGGAGATATTGTGGTCTAAGGAAAGAGATGGGGCAGACTTGGGGCACCAGACACTCAGAAGTTACAGGAGTTTAATCTGAACAAGACTAAGAGTCGGGTAGCAAAGATGCAGAACATTACTTTTTCCACGCGGGAAAGCCAGCTGCCAGGACTTTGACCACCAAGTATTTTCATTAGTGGGAGCAAAATGGCAAAGTAGGTTAATGTGATGTTTTGCTGACATTTTGTCGCAAGCAGCTTGTTTCCCTCTTTCTTCTTTTTTTGAGGGGAGTAGGAGAGAGGTGAAAACAGTTGTGAAAGATCAGGGAAAAATAAAATAAGCCTGAATGAAGTTGATTTGCTACCCATTTAAACATCTGAGTTTGTTGCCACAGAAAAAAGGGGGAAATAATGTGACTTATCTGCTAGCACTCAGGGAACTTTTGTTTTCCTGCCTTTTACTATTTTAGGGTCAATTCACCAGACTAAAAGCACATGAAATTTTCACATGGTGGTTTGCTGGTGACAGTTTCATGGAGTTACTTTAACCTCTCAGTCTCTTAATGTGGCATCTCCCCCCACGTCACCCTGCTCCTGGCCATACTTAGCAAGAAGCCACCTCAAGAGCCTCCCACAGATTCATATTTTAAACTCCGCTTCCCTAGTGTGGGCTCTCTATCGAGAGTACTGTGATTAAACTGTGCACCCAGAAGATGAGATCATATAATGCTTGTGCAGGCACTTATTCATAGCAGAATTTATAGTGGAAGATTTTGTACCTACCAGCAGGTGAGTCTTACAAATGCTTCCATATAAAAAAATTGGATGTTTAATTCATCTGTTAATTAAACATAATTGCACTGTCATTAGGCAAGTGTTAATGTAGGTTAACAAAAATAGCACTAACATATTTATTAGACTTGAGCTTTTTATTTGCCTTGAGCTTTGGTAGATTTGAGACCAGACTTCGTAAGACCTGGACTTAATGGATCTTCCAGCTCGTGTTTTCAGAAGTTTCACAGCTGAGTAAGTTACGCGGCTCCTTCAGACATTGGCTCTCCAGAGCTTTAACTCCACCTGCCTACCATGTAGTGGGAGGCCGGATGAGAAAGACCCACCATTCTCCTGTGCAGCGCCATATGATGTCCAAAGCCATGCGCATTGCGGGGGGGGACACGACATGACACAGAACACAGCTGTAACGAGCACCTTATTCAGGCCACTGTCCAAGGTCTTTCTTTAGGAGTACAAACCAGTCTGTCCCACTGCAGTGTCTCATGTGCCAATGTGCAAGCTGACCCCTGACTCCCCTTCAGAAAGGGAGCAAGGAGCCTTCTCATGGGCAGATACTGTTCATACAGCCTGTTCAACAGTCCTGGGCAAAGACCCAGCTTGCAGTGTTTGCCCCTGAGACAGCTGTCATTTTCAGGGCTTAAAAACATGCCCAGCACTGAAATATCTGGTTTGAAGCAACCTCTCTTCAGAAGGATTATCTTCTCTGGGCATCTCACTGCTGCTTTATGCAAGCGAGGATACTTCGCCTGGCTGAAAGGCTTTGGTTATTGTAACTTCTTTAACAGATTTTTTCCTCTTTTCACAAAATATTCAACTGGTTTCTTCTCCATTTGTCTCCAGTGAGGAGAATTGGACTTCATCTGGGGGTATTACAATGGGTAAATATAGCAACTATTTTTACTTATGTGTCAGTCACCGGGTTGTGTAACATAGTCATAATCTCAGTGTTTTATTCTTATTTTGTGTGGGAGACAGTGAAATATTAGTACATGTAACATTCAAGGCTGCCACAGAATGCCTCGTAAGGCATACGCCCCCTGTAAAGGGCCTTAAAATATTAAATATGGTCTAATGGGCAGGCTAGGCTTTATGACAATAAATGTGTAGTTGAATGTGTAGTTCTTTGACTGCAGCACCATGACATTTCTGAGCAATAGCTCCTTCAATAAAACAGTCACATTTCAGTGTTTGCTATTAGCTGCCTACCAGAACTAGCTACGTGTTGGGTGCCTGCTGTCTTAATCTGATGGGATCCAACAGCTCTTCTTCTTTTAATATTTTGAGACGTTTCCACTGGTCTTGGGGTGTTTGGTTTTTTGGGGGGGCTGGTCTGTTGTTGGTGTTGGGTTTTGTGTGGGGGGGGGGGTGGTCTTTTGTTGCGTCAGTGTTTAGAAAGATGTTTCCATCACGATGGGATGAAGAATGAGCCCCTCTTCTGCATTTTGGGTAGCGCACCCACTGGTGGTCCAGCTTTACTCCGGGAGGACGGTTTCCTTCACAAACCGTAGAGGAAGGGTAACACCTAGTGGGAGTAATCCCACATTGCAATTAAGAAATGCGAAGGGCTCCGAACTATTGCAGCACGACCCAAGATACATAATAAAGAGAAAACTGTACTTTTTCGGTCACAAAAAGTAGATGCAAACTATTATATAGTATATTCAACTTCTTCGTGAGAAACTTCACAAAGCAAGAACACATTTTATCCCTGTTCTGAACTAAATTGGTTGTTAACGTTTATTATTTCTTCTTTCAGTCTGTATTGTGTGAAATGCTATAATATTGCTTAGAAAATGCCTAATTAGATATGACTGAGTTATTTGCATTTTTAATACTGAATTCAGTGAAATATTTAGCCTCCTGAATAAAACCAGCAAAAGGAGTGAGTGATCTAAACTGAACAAGAGGCTCAAATATGCTCATTTAAGCTTCACAATCTTGCTTAGAGGATGCAGGAAAAAAGAGTATGGTTAGTCCCACAGCAAAGTTTATTGCCTAAGAGTTGGGAACTCTTCACATTTTGGGGACTTGAATGCTCTCTAAAATGTGTGCAGTTCTGTAGGTTTGACTTTGACAGTCAATGGATGGCTACTAGACAAAAACCTTTCCTATTTCTGAATCATTGCTCAGGGAGGAATTATCAGGCTCAGCGTTATACTTAAGTGATACCAGGTAATGTTGCCAAAGACTTGAATCGTGCGTTATTCCACCCAAAGACAGAATAACTCAACTCCTTCTAAACAGAGTGCTCACTCTCTGCAAACTGTCTCACATACTGCATATAGCTGGGCAACAGAAATACACAAATTCATAATTTCCATATTTCATGTGAATTGTAATGAGTGGTATCTGTGAAGTTATATCTGATAATGTCTGTTCACAGAGATTGTTTTGCCTGTGTGTTTGCATGTACAGTTGAATATGTTTAGCTGGAACTGCATGTTCTAGGAAGTCCAGTTGCGATGAAAATACACGTGTTCAAGCATGAAAGATATTGAAGAATCATAGAATAATTCAGGTTGGAAGGGACCTCAGGAGGTCATCAAGTGATCAAGCACTTTCCTCCTGCCACTGTGATAGACATTGTTCTGAATAATTTTGTGAGGACAATGCTCTGCAGAGCCTGGGGGAGAGGGAGGGAAGGAGGGAGGGAGGGCAGCCATTAGCTGTGTATTCCATGTCCTTGGCCAATACAGAGCTACAGTGTGGCTGAGAAACATAATCAAGTGAGCAATTAGTGAAGTTGAGAGCTGTATTAATTTCCTTCAAGCACCTTTGCAAAAATTGGAAGGCAAAAGGTACCCTCTCAATGTCATGGTGACATGCAGGTTGTTTCTGCCTCAGTGAAGAAAAGCATTGAAGGGGACACCTTTCACATGCATCTTGAGCGTCACTGAATTTGGAGGACACAAGAAAAGAGGCTATGCACCTTATGCCAAATGTGGAAGTACTCCCAGCTGCTTCTTTTCAGGTGATATCTAGGAAAACATGATTCTTGATTTCCTGTTTCCCTGCTTTGGTTAATTATCAGGAAGTCACAGCACTGTCTGATACCAACAAAAGCAGAGGACAGCTATGTCATTTTATAACATGTAGTGGTGTGGTATTTTACATGGGCAACATGTGAGGGTTTTATCCTGTGCTAAATTACTCATAACCCCTATGGAGCAGTTTTAAATCAGGGTTCTTTTTGTGAGCCGTGGCTCTCTGAAATTAATCTTCTGTATCTCTGTGAAATGTTTCATTCACGTCTTTAAATCTTCCCTTGGTGATTTTCCTGTCTGTGAATAAATAGCATTCTGTCCTAGCTTCTACCACAGCAACGACAGAAAGACAACCAGACCTTTGCAAACATGAGTGGAAACTACATGGATCTTCTACATTAACCATCAACATGGATCAACAGCCTTATGCTGTCTCCTAGAATTCAACAGTATGAGGATTCAGCAAAAGAGCTTCTCCTAATAGGAAAAATGCAACTTATTAGCTAGCTAATTAGGATATCAAAAACAACCTCTACTCCCACTTCTTATCAGCCTGCCTTCCTGTATGGTTGGTCAGGCTTCAGAATAGGTTTTAGTGGGGAAAAAGCACATTTTTTGGAGGAAGCTACAATCAAAAGATAAGAGCATTGTTTTGCAGAGGAGGAAGGTAAGAATTGTCCCTAAGCCTATTCCTCTGAGAAGCTAATCACAAGGGTGGTATCAACCCTCGACAGGAACTCTATCCAAGAGAAAATGCTTTTTAATGAAATTTTCAAAATTTACAGGTCTTACTTGTACCCTTTTCTTAGAAAATGTGTTTTAAAAAAGGAATTAAAAATGTACTGATATAATTGTTCTTTTCAACAAAGTGGTTCTTCAATGGTAAAAGAGATAATAATAATAATTACATTGGTGATTGTGTGTTTCAGATTTATGTATTTGCTTTAGCTGTGATTATTGGAGGTATACTACTCACTAATCTAGCACTTTTTACATAAGCTCATACCCTCGGTGGCAGAACTGACCGTGTTGGTGTCAAACCCTGCTTGTTTCACAGCCCTTGTAAACTGATAAGCGATATTAAACTGTCAAGGAATCAATGGCTTCACAGTGCTTGTACAGTGCTTCACAGTCCCCTGCTTCCTCATGTCCCCCCAGGGTATCATTCCTGAAGGATACTTTGAACACAGTAGAGGTGGTTCCAGCTTTCTGTTGGGTTCCACAGTCAAGTATCTGTCCACCAGACTTCATCATCTCTTGACACAGACTGAAATGAAATTAATGAAGTCTCATTAGAGGCTCAGTGTTCACATTCCCACCTGGAAGATGAAATCCAATTTATATACACATAAAGAGAGAGACCCTTTATTGTTAGGATACTCAAACTTGTTTCTCCTTTGGCCTCAGAGCACAGACCCTCCTACGCGGAGGGTGGAGCTCCACAAGCTCTTAGCTGCTCCAGGCATCCTGGAAAATACCCCTTCTGTCAGGAGCTTGCCAAAGTGCATGTCACTGATGGCTATAACTAGGTTCATGCCAGTGGGGACATCTGGGAGTGAAGGCTGTAATTAGATACTCTTAGCTCTTGCAGGCAGCATATCTCAGCTGTGCAACCCATGCCAGAATGGGATGCTGGACCTCTATTCACTGATACCCTCCCTGACCTGCCACGTAAACTGAAGTGTCACAGAGAATACATTTCTTTTCACTTACTTGGCAGGGGAAATTATTTGCTGCCTAACTGCCAAAAATCTCTGCCTAGGGAGTGAAATAGCAGAAGTCAGCCTCTGCTGGGGCCAAAGTTGAGTTTTCCAGAACATTTCCTTCAGCCCTCATCCTCAGCAGTGTTTCCAGAACTACTCCTACCCATTACCCACTGCATAAGCCCACTTGTTTTTCTGCTTGGACTGAGTCAAGCTTGAAGAAACTTGGAATCAACTTCATCAGGTGTAGCTGATGGTTCTCCAGCTTCCTGACATGCCATGCTAATGAGATGTTACTGCCCAAAGTAATGAAAAGCAGCTGTTTCTTACCTGTAAAGAAAAACTGAGGGTTGCTGCAGTTTGTTTGGAGGTGAGTTTAGCAAGGTTTTCTTCCTTCTTAGAAAAGTTCACTGCATGTATTTTGCTCTTTAGTTGGAGAGGCCCAAGTAGGATTAAATTAATGCATCTAGAAAATTCTGAATGTGCTTTCCTGTTTTGAGTGTTTACATAGAGGGATTACCACTCTGCTTTATAGGGATTTCTGGTAAGATATTATCTGTCTACAATATCTGAGGGTTTCAGTCATGTATGTAAATATAAATAATACATTATTGCTAAAAATGAACATATCAACAGAATAAATGTTTGAGAGACTGTCAGGATGTTTAAGAAATATATGA